TGATTTTTTTAAAAAAATCACACTGTGCAGAAAAGTATTTTGTTACTTTTCTTTTGTTACTTATGTTTTTGTTTTTAACTGCAGATATTGCATGACACATATTTTTCTTAGGGTCACCAAGGTCCACCAGGAGCACTTGGCCCTCCCGGACCCAAAGGAGAGAAAGTAAGGAGAGGATGAAACTGTTGCATTTACTGACAAATTTCTGTTGGCTAGAAACCATAGAGAGTCACAGATTTTGTCAGCATTGTTGCCATGAGCCTTAATTTTTTTTTCATTTCATTAAAAATATAAACTGAAGAATTTGATAAATCTAATCATTTAATCATTCACTGAAGCAGATATCATAGCACTGGAAGTCTAAAGCTGTCGACTTTATCTGTCTCTGCAGCTTCTGCCCATGAAAAGTTAATGGAGTCTTAGGAAGGTGTCCAACTGCAGGGTGAATAAATTGTTGCTTTTATTTGTCCTGCAAAGTAATAAATAGGCTTAGTCACCACTATTCAATTTCTCATGATACCCTTGTTATTCGATGCTGTATTAGTAGAAACCTTTACCATCTTTCTCCCCATTCAATCATGTCATATTCTCAGAGACTGCTTGGACAAGTCCCTCAGTTTTCGTGGCAAGATTCTTCAGGAGTTATTTGCCATTGACTCCTTCCTAGGGCTGAGAGAAAGTGACTGGCACAAGGTCACTCATCTGGCTTCATGCCCAAGGCAAGATTAGAACTCAAGGACTCCAGATTTCTAGCCTAATGCTTTAGCCACATCAGACTGGCTCTATAAATCAGAAATGATGCTTTATAACAGTTTTTAAGGGATTTTTCAATATTTTTAGTCCAGTGGTTCTCAACCTGTGTTCCACAGAGCCTGGGGGCCATGGTGTTAGAGGAGGTCTATGAAGGCTTGAAGAAATATTAAATCTTGAGTTAAGTCTTGGAAGGGGGTATCCGTGGCCATGGTCCGTGGCCACAAAAGGTATTTAAAGCAGGTTATGTTCAAGAAAAGGTTGAGAACCACTGTTTTAGATCATATTGCATTCAAAATGTAGTATTTAGAAAATTACAATAAATACATGATATAAAAACATCACACAATTGCCATTCCTTCCTCCTGAAATGAAGAACTGCTATGAGTGAAGAACAATAGCATATAAATAAAAATAAAAATTGCCTTAATAATTCTCTGAAAGGCAGAGAATTTTGTATTTTCTAGAGTAAGAATTTGTGAGCAATTTTGTAATATCTATCACCCTGATATCAACTTGAAATGAAGCAGTTCATATGGTTTCTAAATTTGATTACTGAGAACTATATTTCATTTAGTTCCCAGTAAGCTTCAGATACTCTAGTCTGAATCGTTTAGAGTTTTAAAGCCCCAAATCTTTTAAAATTGATCCCGGTGTTTCCATTCCTGATTGTCTTCTGCAAACTTCAATCACCTTGCTTGCTGGCATGATATTTCAAAGTTGCATATGGAATTCCTACCTTTTTAAAAGCTTCATAAATTTCTGTGAATCTTTGATAAAATTCCCACATTAAAAGAGAACGTGTAGCTTTAAAGAGTTTTTTGAAGGGATGTGCATATAAATTTACCTTTACATGTTGACATTAATGATAAAGCAGTTTTACTTGGAAAGCATATGAACTCTGAATAAAAAAACTGGTTTACAAAGATTTAGCATTGGAGACTCAAAACTAGCATTTAGCTAAGTGTTCTGAACCCCTCCTCTGTCCAGTAACGAATGCCAAGACAAGCTTAACTGGAATGTACTTTAATTAGCAAAACACCAAAACCTCGGTGGCTGAAAGCCAAGC